TCTCAACCGATAGTACTTTCGATAAATTACTGCGAGCTCCCGTCGGTATCAGTATCTTTGCTGTCGCTTTTGGAACGCACTGTACGTGATACGTGGTGTACGATCCGCGCTTTGGCGCGTGCGGTCGGATTAGATTCGACATTTGTTTAACTTTCAATTCGATGCGGTTTAGGTCGCGCGCGTGAGTTCGAGCGCGGGTGCGGGCTCTTCAATTAGTGCGGAAACTCTCGCGCGAATCGACGCACGCACGTCGTGTGTTGCATTTGCGCTCGTAGTTCGTAGTTTCCGGTGTTCGATTTCCGTGCTGGCGAGCGGGATCGTGTCTGCTCTACGGTCGGTTCATTAAAAATCGTCGAACCAGACAGCACGTTTCGGCGTGCCACAGTAAGTTAAAAGAGAAAAAGGCAGAAGTATTTGCACATCTCGTTTCTTCCCGAATAATTTGACGCGAAAGAAACGAATGTTGCTGCACAATGCGCTTTCATTTTTTCAATGAATTAGAGAGAGAGAGAGAGAGAGAGAGAGAGAGAGAGAGAGAGAGAGAGAAGCCAAGAAACTCTAAATCTTTTGTCATCGATCTCGAGCCGGGCGAGATCCTTTGATAAGATATTCTTGATGTTAAAAATTTTTTTTAATATTTTTGTAGTATGGGTTACTTGTATCCTGTTAGTCGAGTGTACGCAATGATACATAACAAAAACATCGCATGTACTATTTACGAGCGCTTTTTTCAAGATTGGACGCGAAGAATAAAATAAATTTTTTCTTATCTCTATTTCTCTTGATCCGTTATTTTTGAAACTTCTCTGTTCACAATGCTTCTTTAGTTGTATTAAAAATATTATAGGTTAATTAATTAGTTAATTTGTCCTGCATTTCGTTAGCAGTTACTGCAACATAATTTATGAATGTAATCTCTTTTACCCCAAATGACTGTTCGGCTTAAATTATGTCAGATTAGTTGCCACGCGTGGCCAGTCTATCACATAGCTATGACATGATTTACGTAGGAGCATGGAAGTATACGCAATGATATATTGTGTTACACAACAGGGAATCTGCATGAGCTTCTATAGCTCAAAGTTTACAAAATTTGTGAGAATGATTATCTTTCCAGTTCAATAAGCGTTTTGTGCTTGATTATAAGATATCGCTAATTTCTCGAGTGAAACACTCGAAATCTTGAAACAGAAATAGTTTGTCTTGCTTCCTATGAAAGACTTGCTACCTGAAAGACATGTGATAAACAATCCTGGAAGTATGAGGTGGGTAGTCATATTTGCATGTCTCTGCTTACAACTCGATAACTTCTTTGTATATAAATATATATAAGGATGATTTTTTCTTTCATCTAGAGGCTGCACCCATATGAAAATATACACAATATTAAAAGATACCACATACATCTATTTTTTAATCAGTATGTAAAAAGTGTGACAACTAAATCCGACCTCCCATATATCGTATGGGGCGCGCTAAAGTGCTCGCTGCAAAAAGTCACTGTTCCTCGTTTTCTCGCTGGCACCGTCAACGGAATGCCACTTTAACGGGTCGTCGCTTGCGGAGGAAGCGGCCAGAAAGAAAGTAGGGAGGGAGGAGGGGGAGAAAAAGAGAAGGAAATTCCGTCGCGAAATGATAAAAAGCGGGGAAAAATGGCAACTCGAGCTAAGTAAGTAAGTAAGCAACCAAGCGAGCGAGGAAGCGAGCAAGCGAACGAACGAACGAACGAACGAATCGGCGAGCTTGACCGTTGCTTTCTGCCGACGACGTCCGGTTTCAAAGTTCTCGCCCGGTTAAATTCCTAGCCGCGATCGACTTTCGATAGCTGGGTCGGAACAAAACGGAATCTCGATGAAGTATCGGGGTCACCTGAGTGAACTTCCGTCCGTACAAGAGCGGCCGAGAGCGGCACGAGTAAAATGGAGCGAATCCTTTTATAATCCTTTTTTAATCGTCAGATTAAATCGCGTCGTGCGTTATCGCGCGCCGCAGGAGCACGCAGTAACGCGAATATCGCTTTATCGCGCGAGCGTAACGTCGGAAAATACGAATAATCGATGGGAAATATTTAAAAGGACCGGTACGCGTGTAGAATGTAAAACAGCCCGAGGACATTCGGTAACCGAGCGTAAAAGCTCTCGGCCGAATTGGAAATTAACGTTGTAAACACTGTAGGAGGTGAGTACTGAACGCAGCCGCGTCACGGCGCACACGCGACGAAATTACCGAATCCTTTATTATTATTGCAATTGCCGCTATTATTATTACTATTATTATTATTATTATTATCATTATCATCATCATCATCATCATCATTATCGTCGTCGTCGTCGTCACCGTAGTTGTCGTTATTATCATTATTGCCATTATTATTGCAGTTATCATTATTACACGCCTCGGTGAGTCTAGCATTGTGCGCGACAATGAGTACGAATCGCGTTGCTAAGCAATAAATCGAACACTAGCGGCGACCAATCCAATTTTCAGAAGATTATATGGCACATATTAATTATTATTATATGCGCAAAAACGAGTGCTACGGTCGTGGGAGTCATTGTCGAATTTCCGGCTTTGAATCTCCACCACTTTCTCCAGCTGTGCCTGTTCTTCCTCTCGTCCGGACGAAATTACGTGCAGCCGCGACAGTTTAGTATTTTTGCGAGAAATCGTATCGGGTAAGACTTGTGCAATTTCCGGGGGTCTCGGAGCCCGTCGAGAAATACGGCGGCGTTTCTTGGCGATTGTTTTCGGCTGAGTCGCGCGAATGATCGATTCGCGCCAAGTCGCTGATACGATAACGCATACAATGCGTGGCGCGATTAATTTTAACGGGTCAATTTCCAGGGCCAATCTCGCGGAATAATGACCCCCTTCTGTCTCCGCCCACCGCCTCCCATAGTTTGCGAGTGTTTCGAGTTGTTGCGGTTGATATTGTAGTCGCTGTTCGTACGAAAGGGACCGATGTTTTCTGCTTTTTTCTCCCCGGACCCGACCCGTAATACGTATCTTTTGTTCGCATCTGTTTCGCATGCGGCCGCTATTGTTCCAGCTTTCGCGATTAAAGTTTAAATTAGCCGAGCCGACGGTGGAAGCTTGATAGGAAACGCCGTTCGCGATTATACACGCGAAAGGTGGAAGTCAAATATTTGATGGGCCGCCGTAACTTCCTGCGGAATTCAGCGCGGGGATATGCGCGGGCGTTTTTCTCCTGTCGTCCGCGCGCATTGTTGCAAATTACCGTTCAGCGAAATCGGAGCTCCGCTGACACGGACATACGGAGCTGAAATGACTAGACTTTCGCCTGCTATTTATCGAAAGATGCAAATCTACATTTTCTCTTATAGCATTCCCATCCTTACTATCTGGTGCGAAGTATTTGCGTTAAAATGCAAATCGATCTACATCGGGAGGAGAAATACCTAAGAAATAATAAATTCGGTATATACGTATTTAACTTATATTTTATCGATACAAAACATATTTCACATAAGAAAATATACTTTTACGTAAAACCTTAATAGAATAAACAATTGCTTTTATGAGTTTTGAGGAAATGTATATTTTATTTAAAATATATTTTATATTGGTATAAATAAAATTACTATTTACCGGATAAATATTTTTTATATTTTAGATATTTTTCCTCTATACTCATTGAATAAATATTTTTTCCCTTAGTGTGTCAAGAGAAACAGAGTATACTTGAAATATCTGTCGGACAATATGAGCGCTCGAAAATGCAATCTACTTATCTCGTGCGCGATGCATTTACGTTGACTTCGTAATGAGCTTTCTGTGGCTTTCATCTCACATCTCCCCCGTGGTTGTCGCGGGCCTCCTAAAGACGCGAAGGGCCCTCGTCTCTCTCTCTCTCTCTCTCTCTCTCTCTCTTTCTCTCTCTCTCTCTCTCTCGTGCTCTTCGGCTTCATACAAATTCAATATTAACCTTTCACCGTAAACGCTCGCACTTATCCCTTATTTCAACCCTGAGAGCAAAAGTTACGCTTCCTCCTCTTCCACCTGCGCTCTGCCTCCTTCTCTCCCTCTCTCTCTCTCTCTCTCTCTCTCTCTCTCTCTCTCTCTCTTTCTCTCTCTCTCCCTCTCCTCTTCTCTCTCTGTCTTCCTTCAATTGTCATGGAAAACGCAACTCGCGGCAGCACTTGTATGGCTCAGCTGCCATGTTTTGTTCGAACAACAACGAACGGCGATTAGGCGAACTCAAAGTAGAACATGCAGCAGATTAATGTCAGGAACGATTTATGATACGCTGTTCAGATAGGATACTTAAAGAAGTAGAGAAAGAGAGAGAGAGAGAAAAAAAAGAGAGAGACAGAGAGTCGTCGAGTACCGGATCGAGTTCTTCCAAAGGGCTTCGCGTAATCGTACGCCGCTCGTCCTCGACGAGCGTAAGTTTAATGAAAGAAGTTCGACGTGCTTCGACGACGTATACTCTTAAACCGATAGCCCCCTCCCCCCCTCCCTCCCCCATTATAATCGACGTCCGCTCGGCTCGAGTAACGCTAACGAGAACGAATCGATTCGCGAGAATGGCGGCGGTTCAGCCGGTTCTCGGTTCAGCTGGCGCTACCAGGAAAGTTATCGATTCGTCCCGAATCGTTCGATTATGTATAGACAATCCTCCGTCGCTGTTGCGCAATGGCGCTGTTGTTTAACGAATCCAATAGCAACTGGTTCGGCGTAAAGTCAGAGTAAAAAGCACGGCGTAAATCGTAAAAACGATCGCAGATAGCGAAAATAAAATTTATAGGCACATGCCGATATTTTCGAGTTTTTCAAGCGTTGCTCTGGACTTTTCGAAATTTTCAGTAAATATATATATATATATATATATATATATATATATATATATATATATATATATATATA